TTAGGATTAGGACAAAGAATATTTCTAAATTCTGAGTCTACATGCTGACGAATTTTGTTATACAAATATCTTTTTCTATCTTCTGACAATGGAGCAATTTCAAGTACATCTAATTGACTATTTTTATCAAAATTATCATCCTTTAAAAGTTTGAAAGGAATTTCAGTGCCACCTGATTTTTTTGAAACATAAACTTTTCCAATATCATCTGATAAACTACTGAAACGAAAATGATGATATTTTGTTATATTTGGCAGACTTCGGAAATGTCCTTCAAATAATAAAGTAAAGTTATACCAACTCCAATTTGAGCCATTGCCATATCTAATAGGTTCATTACACTCTGCTGAATCTTTTATAGCTTTTGCAACATCATCAACAGTATTTATGTGCCTGTTTTTGTATTTACTTTTAATATGTCCAAAATTTGCATCACAAATAAATTTTGTATGCTCAGGAATCATAAAATTGATGTAAATATTCTCATACCAACCTAGCATTATTATCCATGACCAGAACCATAAAGACAGATTATTTTTGTTCTGTCCAGAACAATTGTCACATGTTACATAAAGGTCTTTTTTGTCAGCATGATCAACTTTTTTAAGAAAGTCATATACCATGTTTAAAGTGGTATTAGCTCCTTTGTGAGTTCCTTTTGGGAATTCATCTTCTCCAATGATATAATTTAATTGATAATTTTTATTTCCATTAGTTCTACACACACCAAAGAGATGTATGTTAAAAGGAGACTTAAAATAAATTGATCCAGTTTGTTGAGGAGAATAAGGAGCCACAACACTTTGTGCCCAATCATAACAAATGTGATTTATTGAAAATCAGTTTTACCTTTTGTAATAATATTGTTATAATGTTCTCTTTCACACATTGCAATTTTTTTATGCTTTTCATATTCAAAATTAATGTTTGCAATTTCATCTTTATCTTTTGTTGACATCAATTTTGTGTCAAATCCATAACATGTATCACAGAGATCACTTGCATGATTTAGGAATTTGATTTCTGGTGTTAGCTGTTGCCACAGTTTACAAAAAGTCTGTAGTGCTATAATTGGAATAGGTCTAGAGTTTAGATTTGAATTTACCAAAAGTAAGTTTTTTTTATATTCTTCATACACATTTTTACGTGTTATTTCAGTTGGCAAATAAATAAATGGTTCCAGATCATCTCTAAGCTTCATTGGAGATGGAAGACCATATATTTTTGCATATTGCAAGACAAATTCCTTAAAGGTATTTGCTACTTCAGCATTAATTAATGAGCATGATTTGATTTTAGGAATTCTTTTTGTATTGCCATGAATATGACTTTCCAGACCATTTGTTTTAAAATGTGCTTGCAATGTATCTAAGAGTTTTCTACTAATATTATTTAGTTTCAAAAACACTTTTTGACAAATAGGTATTGATGAATTATATTTATAATTATAATGTGATTTAGTTGAATTTTCATTTACTAACTCAAATGTCATTAATTGTGTTTTAATGCAAAGATCCTTCATATCTTTTTCTAATCCTTTCAATTCCATGTATCTTTCAAAAAAATTTTTAAACCCAATTTTTTCAAAACAAATTTCATTTTCATTTTGACATCTACAGTTTGATCTGTTTCCAAAAAATAATTTTAGTTCATGAACATTTTTCTGTACCAAAGTATTTGATTCATATTCCTCTAATCCTAATTCAGCTAAATTGTATTGTATCAAATTACTTTCTTCAAATGATTCATTTTCATTTTCAGATGCTTCAATAATTTCTTCCATTAAATCAGACATTTTAAATTATAAAATATTAATTTTTGCAAAATTATTTTATGAATAATTTGTATGTAAAATTACTTGTAAATTGTATTTGTGCATCGAAAATTATATACATGAATTATATATGCATTTAAAATTGTTCACAATTTAAAGAAAATATACAAAACAATTTATTAACAAAGATTAACAAAGATTATTTTTTGTGTTTACAAATAATATTGTGCATTAATACATGAATACATAAATTAAAATTTATTTATTAAAAATTCCATTTTTTTCTCTTCTAACATTTATTAATCATCTTTGTATGTGTTCTTTACTTATTCATCTTTGTATACAGTTGACTCTGGCTATACCGAACCTGGCTATACCGAACTCTGGATATAGTGAATCAAATCTCCAGAACCGAATTTTTATTAATTAATAAATCTGTTTATAACGAACTTTATTAATAAATCTGTTTATAACGAATCCGAACTCACCTTTTTGAAGTTTCATATTTAATTTGCTCTTCCTATAACGAATTTTCACGTGAACACATGTAATATCATGTGTAACATAATGCAAAATTTCGTTTTTGATTAAACATTTTAAGATATCAAAAAAAACGTAATCTTTGCCACTCAGTACAAAATCATTCAATCAAACTATTGTCAAATTAATTACATATTATTAATTATTATTAAATATTTAGTATTAGTATTAATAATATTACGTCATGACTTTTTGTAAAAAAAAAATAATTCGCGTGATTAGTAATGTTGATATTTTATTATAAATACCCTCAATTTCCAGTTGATTTGGTAGCAATACATAAATTATATTTCATAATTCTTTATACCTTTGTTTCTTTTATTTGTTTTATTTCTATTCATTTGTTTCTTTTATTTTAATAAATAAAATGTCAACTCGAAAAAGAACAAGTCTTTCTGCTGCCCAAAAACGTGAACTTTGTGAGGCGAAAAAAAATAATCCAAGTTTAAGCAACGTAGAACTTGCCAGACAATACAATATTGGGAAAGCAACAGTGACTGATATCTTAAGTGAGAAAGAACGTTGGCTTGCTATTACAATTGAACAAGATAATTTGAAAAAATTTCGTGGACCTAAGTGGCCACTACTTGAAAGAGCTCTTAATATTTGGGTTGATAATGCACTTAATGCACAACAAGACATTACTGGCAATATTTTAAAAGAGAAAGCAAACCATTTTGCAACCCAATTTTCAATCAATGATTTTAATTCATCAGATGGGTGGTTGACAGGCTTTAAAAATCGTCATGGACTTCGTCAATTCAGAAAGCAAGGTGAATCTGCAAGTGCACCATCTGTTGAACAATTAGAAAACGAACGGATTTCATTGCAGACACTTCTTGGTGCTTATAGTCCTGAAAATATTTGGAATGGTGATGAAACTGGCCTCTTTTGGAAGATGGAACCTTCACGTGTTTTGGCTCATGCTAAACTATCAGGTCACAAAAAAGATAAATCTCGAGTTTCAATTTTTTTTGCTGCAAATTCTCTGGGAACAGAGAAGATGAAGCTTAGTTTCATTCACAAACATCGGAGACCTCGAGCAATGAAAAAATTAAATTACAATAACTTGCCTGTTTATTACTATTGGAATAAAACAGCTTGGATGCAAGTTAGCATTTTTAACGAAATTCTCCTTACACTTAACAACAATATGAAAAAACAAAATAGAAATATTCTATTGCTAATTGACAATGCACCAGTGCATATTATTCTTGAAGAAATTGCAGAAAAATTGGATAATGTAAAGGTTGAATTTCTTCCACCAAATACTACAACTTTTCTTCAACCTTGTGACGCTGGGATCATCCATTCCTTTAAATGTAAATATAGAGCTCTATTTGTTCAAAATCGAATTAAAGCATATGACGACTTTCAAGATGGTACTACAGATAAACTTGCTGATTATACTGTATATAATGCTTTAATAAATGCAGCAGAAGCATGGTCTAATGTATCACAACAAACAATACATAATTGCTGGTTAAAAACTGGCATTCTTCCAGAAAGAACAATCACTGAACCTTTCAGTATTAATGACGAGGATGAGGAGAAAGATTTGGAAATGCTTCTTGAAAAGTTACCAAATAGTAACAATCTTTCAGCAAATGAATACATTCATGTTGAGGATGAGAATGTTTGGACAGACCTCACTGATGAGGATATAATAGAAATGGTAAACCAGGAGGAACAGAGTAGCGAAGAGGAAGTTGAATCAATGGAAGAAATCGAGATAATAAGTAATAAAGTAGCTAAAGAGTCAGTAGATACTGTTTTAAAGTATTTGTATCAGCAAGGACCAGAATTTGGTGAGGTTGGTGAAGAAGTAAAGATTTTGAGAGGATTAAATAGACGGATTGGGTTAGTTATTCAAAAAAATCTTAAACAAACTGACTTAAATCACTATTTTGAGGATAAAATGATTGAGTAGCTTTGGCAGTTTATTTTTATTTGAATATAATATTGTGTTTGGGTTCAAATATTCATATACTATCAATCTTCTGGATAGATTGATAGTATTTTTATTTATATTTATATCTACATTTATTTATATTTAATAGTTATATTTATATCTACATTTTATTTATATTTGATAGTAAAGTCTGTTTGTAAAAGAATGTTTTATAACTTCATATTTAAAAATAATTCTTATAAATAAGCTTTCTGATCAATAAATATAATAAACGGCTATTGAATTAAATTATTTATTATATATGTTACCATCACGTGACACATCTAGCTGGCTATAACGAACTCTGGCTATAACGAACAAAAATTCTCAGAACAGGGGGTTCGGTATAAACAGAGTCAACTGTAGTTGTCTTTGTCCATAATTAATACGTAACACAAAAATAATAATCCAGGGGTACTTTCGTGTAACAAAATTTAATCGGTTGTTTACTCAAAATATTTTAAATTTTAAAAATAGCTCGGACCCCCTTTTTCCTAGAGCGCCCCTCATATATAGATGAAAAATCTAAGATGCTACAAAGTAAAGTTTTTTATTTTCTGATTAAAAATCAAAAAAAAAAATGTATCAATATATTCTTTGATGTTATTCCATTTTATAAAATAACAGGATATAAATTTGAGGCACAAAGCATAGTGCTATTTTCTTGTAAAAGATCATAAAGTAAAATCAGCACTTCTAGGTTTTTTTCGCCGAACATTTGATATGAAATCTCCCTCATTTTTTATTTTGTACGACACACTCATTTATTTGCGGATCATCAATTAATAAAGTTATACAATCCATTTCCATGACGACTCCCATATGGTTGGATAACTCTTTGAGTCCTGTCATAGATGCTTTGAAATTAGAAAAGGTTAAATTACTATATATTGCAAAACTTTAAATGAATCATAAAATTTGTAGTTACATAAAGCCATTGGTTCTCCAATACAAAGTGGAATATGACGATTAGGAATATCTAAATAATTTGTCCCATCACGAATTAAGTACTCTCTTCTGGTCCATTTAATATAAAAATAATTACTCTAATTTTAGATTATAAGTTATTGACTTTAATTACAAAATATTAAAATGTTAATAACCATTGATGCATTTAATAGATACCTTGTTTCCTTGAACAAGTTCAAGGTCTTGGAGATAATCTATGTATTTTTGAAGGTTAGCCTGATCTGGATATTTCTTTTTGATATCATCTAATTCTATTTTGTTTGACAGAATATAATAATAGTTAATCATTAAATTAAAAAGTATGTGATTTTAAAAGTTTTATAGTTATCTGTACCAAAAGAAATATAATTGAAATCATGTCCAGGAATATAATTCCAAGAAAGGATCATGTAACTCCAATTATCATCAGCATTCATGTTTTCACTAGGAGTAAATTTATACCTTCCATTGTCAAACAATTTAAGATTGGCAGAACAATCAGCTAAGAAATAATTCTATTAATGATATGTCAAATTCAACAATTAAGTTTATTATTAGAAATATACATACTAATCGTATTAACAAGTGTAAAAGTGCAATTAATTGTTGTTGTTATATTTTTAAACTGAGTGACATTAAATGCTTTTAAAATGATAAGAAAATAAATAATTTTGCTAAAAAAAAATTCCAATAATATTTACTAGCATATACAGTACATACAGTACCTGGAAATTTTTGTGAGACTAATTTATTGTTAGAATATTGAATTGAAGGCTAATCAAATTTGTTGAAACAACAATATATGCAATTAATCCAACTAAAAGGATTATTGAAACAACAATTTTAGTCCACCATAATGACATTGGTTCAGCCTTTCTCCATTTTGGTAGTGTCATTTGAAAATTTTTATTAGTAAAAGAATAATTGTCCTAAAAAATCTCCGTCATTATAGTAATGAAAATTTACAAAAGCAAATGTATGACAGTGACTTGTTATTTATTTCCATTATTATTTGAATATCCAAGCTACATTGAATGGTGGTTGTTTGAATAACAAATAATTGAAATGTGCATTATCTCAAATAGAAATTCTATAAGAAAATTTTTTGGCCTTCAGCTAGGTTGAACGATTTTAAAAAAACTTTATGTGACACAAATTTTGAGTTTATTTTCACATATTAATATTAATTATTCCTATTACTAAAAAAAATTTGACAAATTTTCTCTTTGTTGATCATTTATATTTTTGTAGAGTCACGTTGACCTATAATTATTCTAAAATTATGCAGAAACCTCTCTTAAAGCATATCAAATTACATGATTTTAGTTTATGAACAAAGTGACTGAGGATAATATTTAAAAAAATTTACAAAAAAAAAATGCACAAAATGCCTTTATAATAATAATTTTTAAAAAAACATCCAATATAAACCAAATTTTTTTCACATAAACTATAAAAGTTGTACTTTTCTAAAATATAAAAAAATCTTCTAATGAATAAAGATGGTGATTTTATTAATATCATCATATTATTATAAAGAACATCATATTTTTTAATTTATTAAAACTACACGTACTTTCTTCTTCAACACAATGTATGGGGTAGTGATGTTAGCCGTTTAAAAATCCTTAGCCGGCTAAGCTGTTTACTACCTAAATTGGTAATTAACAAGAAAGTAACGCAGAAATATATTACCAAATTTAGAAATTATGCATGCAGATTATTAGCCGGCTAACATCACTAGTATGGGGCATTTTAGACAGTTTCCACTAAAATTATCTACACTAAATTTTGTAGGAGATGGTGATGGCGATGGCTATAAATATAAATAAAAAATTAAATACTATAATAATAATTTCTTATTAATATTTTATACTTACAGGCTTTCTTTTATGATTGTTCCTTCTTGATACACCATAATTATAATTAATTTCTTTTCTATAGTGGCAATCATCTAAAGACATCATCAAATGTTGCCAATCTTTAAGTGCTGATACTTTATTAAATATGGGCTAT